CGATTTCATATGCTTGTGAAAAAGGCATAAAAATTACAAATAACTCCTCTTTTTGCCTAAATCACCTATTTTGTGCTATCCAACCATCTATTCTAATTTATCTCAAAGGCACTATGTATTATAAAATTCAACCAGAGAATAGTCTCTCGATTTTTACAAATACTTTGATTTGAATTGTAATATTGTCCTCTAAACATTATTATCTAGATTATAGCAAAATCCAAAATATTGTTTCAAGAAATTGTGTTTTCTACGTTACAAAAATCTTGAGTATTTACAGTACTATACGCACTGTGATTTTTTCCAAATTGCATTTGATTTATAGTAGTTCATCAATAGAAGAATTCATGGGAATCCTACCTATTCGTATTGTTTCACATGGCTAACGGTTTTTCTAAACTTATTTAATCAAGTTGGCAAATTGCCAAACCCTTTGAGTGTCTGTGTCAACCAGCCAACAGATTAATCATTCGAGCTGGCACGGTTCAATGCTCATTAGTAATCATTTCAATTTTTTCAGCGGCTCATCTTCACCTTGCAATCGCCACACCCTTCTACAGGTTAATCATTCCAGCAGTACATCGACAGCAACAATGCCAGCCACTACGGTAAGAGACCTGACCGTGTTCGACATATCTTTCAGTTTTTGACCATTAATGTTGGAAAACGCACTCTAAACTGTTAAGAGTTATGTATTTGCGCGTGTACACGCATGTATCTATGCGGTTTAAGAGCGTGCCCTGAGTAGAACGAGTTTTACCCTGGTATACGCCCACTTTTCCCGACCACACCTGCGTATTTGACAGGGCGTTTCTCGTCCACAAATCAACTCTTTATCAGTCATCATTCTGACGTAACAAATAGTAATTCTATCATATGCTAATTCTCTACAACTTTCAAATTGTTAAACAGAACAATTAAACAAACAGATACTAACTGACTGTTATTCGCGCCATGCATTTAATTGTGCAAATAATCCAAAGCTTTTGTCGTTCGTTGTTTACGAGTTCACAACAGCGCTCATCTTTCCAGAATAGCAACTGTACAATGCCGGAAAGTATCGATATTTCATCACTGAATAGGAAAAGTCTTATCGAGGAGAATAAAGCGCTCAAGGAACACATCGATGAAATAATGAATGGCTCACGAGTTGTGAGTTATTTCAACTATTTTCCAAAAAAACTCCACAAAGTAGCAGTAAATCGAACTTTCTTTTCAATCGATATAATCAGCTCTATTTTATTGTGCTTGAAAAACTAATTACTGGAACAGATTCACGTGGAACGCTATCATTGATAACTGGTTCTAGAAAAATTCACCTTTTCATGTTCTACGAGCAAATTCTAGAGTACTCATCAAATTTCTTTTTCACGCTTTTGAATGGCCATTGCGCGGTAATTAGCTTCAATCAATTATCGATCGATAAATGTCACTTCAAAATGGTAACCTTGACTAGACCGTCTTCTCTGTAAACAAAGACATTTTTCATGTCTTTGTCTACGTGATTATGTTCTTTTTTTTTCTTCCATCTTCTTACTCTTCAGTGAAGAATTCTAGATTAAATAAACATCATAAAATAGCTTTTGAGTAGCAATACTTTTCCTGGTTTGAATCCAACTGGTATAGTCGTAAATTTGGTCTTCTATGCATTCTTGAACTTCTCCCATTAAGTAGCGAATTCGTGATCAATGCTTCAACCCATTTTCTGCCTTATTGTCTATAATTTTTTCAATTCCTTCCTGCTTTTTCGAGGCAATTCTGAGTTTAGGTGAGTTCATTCTTGTATGGCCATTTGTTCAAAATTATATCCTAAATTCTTGCTGTTTAATCCTTCACTTCATCAGTTTGTCAAAAGTTTTGAGTGGAGTTCAGCAACAAGACCAAACTTAATCGATTAGTAACAATTTTTTGCATATATTGTCACCTGAGAAAACTTTTTTCCAAAGAATTCTCTCTTGATTAGTGTCTGAGCTTTTTTCTGCGAAAAATGAAACTCCTCATTACTTTGCACGAAACAGCCCAAACTTTCTGGTCTTTGCTCTCTATTCAAAACATGACAACCATATATCGTGGGGCACTTATATGAACAAAA